CAAAGAAGAGTAGATAACCTGACCAAATTCAATCAAGAAATAGCAATCAAAATGTTAACAGACATGTGTGTTTAAGCTTTCCAACAGCCCTAAACAGATCTTGAAGATCTCTTTCTGCCCTAACTAATGTGTATCTCCTCAAAATAGTTTAACATGAATATGAAAAAACATTTTGAAAGTATTGTCATTGACCCATGTGTATTTTGACCCATCATCATTATTTTCTCCTGGAGCTATAGCCATTTTCCCCCAAAACAAATCATTCACTCATTCGTGCTCATCTTCAATTCAAGCTGTCATATATCTTAAACATTCCCAGAAATGCTTTCCACACATTTTCTCTTAAGTTTAACTGGAAGTACAAACCTACTTAAGTAAGCTGATGCTGTACACATGTAATCTGCATTAGTATTTCTAGATCTGCTAGTGCTTGACCTTACCAGAGAAGCTTCAAAAACTAGCTAACCCTTTTGTGTTGGCAAATGTCCAATGAAAATGCAATTACATTTCTGACGAGTTATTTAAGCAAACACTGAAATCTTCATCTGACATAACCTTTTAAAAGTAGGCAAATCATATTTATATCTGTTTATTCAAGCAGAATCGTTCTGTACATAAATTGATAGCACTTGAAAACTGTGTAATATCTGGCAATGTTTCAAGTCTTAACATCACAATTCTATCAAATGACTGCTGCAAAGAAATCTATTGTTTGTAAAACTCACTAATATCAAATCTATGTTGTTAAATAATGACATCTTGTCAAATATAAAAGAACTTGAAAGAAAGCTTTTCTGACAGTATCAGAAATTGTTTTTGAAGAAATCATTTATGGAACATAATTACTTTCAATCTCTGTGTTTTATTGTTTTAGAATTACTTACTGCTATTTGAATCATAGTGTCAATATTTAGAGTATGTTGCACATTACTCAATCATAAATGTCTGCATATGTGTTTGCTGTTTAATGCTGCATTCAGCAATATATATATATATATTCCAGCTACATGACAGAAGCCTGTAAATACTAGATTTTGGGACAGGCAATCCAGTAATTGAGCAACAATCCACACCGTCAGGGCACATTGCCACCCTTAAACCAAGTCACCGAGGCTGACCACCCAATCCATTGATTGCCTCTTACGACCTGCAAAAATTGCAAGGGACATTAAAGACCAAAATATTAAATGAATTGAAATAAAACACTTAAAAACTAGCTGTTATCTAAGCAAAGTTTCAGCTTCATCAATCCAGCAGTTTCACAAAGGAGTCAAAATAAAGCTCTGTAGCTCATAACAGAATTGTAGGGAGTTGACAGAATTCAAATATATAAAATAATATGTATAACTAAGTGAGTGAGTGAGTATGGTTTTACGCCGCTTTTAGCAATATTCTAGCAATATCACGGCAGGGGACACAAGAAATGGGCTTCACACATTGTACCCATGTCGGGAATCGAACCCGGGTCTTCGGCGTGACAAGGAAACGCTTTAACCACTAGGCTACCCAACCGCCCCATGTATAACTAAGAGTAGACTTTGTGATTCAGTAACAATGAATGGTTGTATCAAAATGTAAGAACAGTTAACAGCAATGGCATGCTCACAACATATAAACATGAACTAGGTAGATGTTTATTTGCATTTGCATAATACCATAGATATCATAATTGTCTGTAGAACTCACTCTGTTGCAAGACAGACACGACATCACTTTGGAATGACAAAGTGGATGACATGATATGCTCCCTTCCAACTGAACCCACCTGGTTAGCATAATGGGGATAAAAACAACTAATTTAAGCTTGAACTCATAAGGTATTGAACAAACTTCATATTAACTTAACCATGGTATCCATTTGGCCAAGCTGAGTGGCATTTTGGTCTAAAATATGGCAGTGATAAAGAAAAGTATTCATATGCAATGCCCCATGACAATTCCACAAAGCATCTTGGTGCCAAGACAATTGAAACTCCTATGCTATAACACAGACTTATGACAAAAGCATTGTGCTAAGATCACTTTGTGGAACGAGGCCCTGGTCCCCTGCAATCTTTGCTGGTCATAATGGATCAAGTGGTCAGGCTCAGTGACTTGGTTGACAGCATGCCACTTTACCCTTACAGCGTGGATCACTGCTTCATAACATCAATGACTTGTTTGTCTGGTACATACTCAAAATACAACTGGACTCTTGCTACTGCAGTGTCAAACAACAAACATTAACATTCACATACACCATGTAAAGCCCACACACTACCATTCATTTTACAATACACATTTACTGCAAACAAAAATACTGACTGCAACACTTATAATGGTGTTGTATTGATGGGCAAAAGTATCCTCATTAATATGGCTACAAACATATAACAAACACAATGGTAAAGAGGCGCTGGCTGAGTTTCTTTCATTCTACAATATCCTAAGCATGTATCATTTATTTAACACAACATAGGTTTGAACCTTAGAAATAATGAGACAAGGCCTGATGACAAGCATACTGTAAAGTGAGATTTCTAAATCTCTCATAACTGAATACATATTGTCTACATAATTATAACCATAAACATCACAATCATCAATAGCGTTAGCACTGACCTGAACCATTATAACGTCATCATTTGTGGGAACATCGAACAACAGTTATCATTGTTAATAATTCTAAATAACTACCTCTATTACATCTCCGCAATAAATCCTGTATTTTGGCTTCAATTACACTAAGTAAAATTTTCAGATTTTCAACAGACGTCCTCTTAACTGTCAATCACACAATTAGTTGTCGCCAAGTAGTCTTGTAATTACCCAAGCCATGATGTCATAAAGGCAGCAACCTCACTTTTTTCCCTTCATCTCCTACTAGCCTACTAGCGGTAGTAGGGAGGGAGTAAATCAATTGTAATAGAGGTAGTATTCTTAGAATTATTATCAATGATAACTATTGTTTGATAATTCTTACGAAACTTCTACCTCTTTTACATCTCTGCCAGAATATACCAGAGGGACCCGGTGGGATCTGCCTCAAGTAACTCCCTGTGTAATTAACTGCAATCCTCCTCTGGAAACCATTATGTACTGATTCTAATCCTACTTGAAATAATTTGCTCTGAAATTCCCCTTGAGGAAATGTTTTGAGAATCAGTCAAATATGTGATAATATCACTAAACCAGCATTATATTTGCTGATCTTGATCGTAATAAACTTGGATTTGTGACTTTAATACCAGCCATTACGTCACTTCCGGTTCTGACCTCACTTCCGGTATGTCGATTTTCCTTTATTGGCAATGACGATTCTCCAGGTCTATTTCTACTCAAAGCGTCATTTCTTGGTTAAAAAGTTGTTACTGCTATTTCTGGTGCTGACGTCACTTCTGGTTATTTTCTCACTTCCAGTATTGATGTCACTTCTAGTCTAATGGTGATAGTTGATATTTAAGGCGCTTCTATTCCATCCTACACCAAATAGACAGAATAATCAAGGGTGTACTCACCCTCTGATGCTGCTGGTGTCGGATCCTCACCCCCTCACCCCTTTTTTGATAGAAGGGGTAAAACTATTGGTGGACAATAGTTTGTGCCGCGACCAACGGGACCGAGGGAATATATGCCCTCTAAGTCCGGCTGTACATCACGCAGGTAAAAGCTTGTGAAGGTGTTTTGTCAGGCCCATTGACAGCTAGAAACTACTTATTCTACTGAGACTGATGTCCACAATGAGAGACTCGTGGCTAGGGCTATTATTTCGTGAGCTGAGCAAGATCCGAGACGTGGCGTAGAATTTTGAGCCTGTGTATAACTTGATGCGATTGTGGCTTTTAGCCATCCTGCTATAGTAGCCTTGATGATATCCTTGTTGGAGTTAGTTTTACAGGATAAAAAGCGTCTCCTTCGATGGTGTCTGTGTGGGTCTGTAGATGAGAGATAGAACTTGAGAGCTTTGATGGGACATAAGAGTCTGTCTGGGTGATCCATTGTTGGTCCTAAAGCAGGAATTGTATAGTGTCTATGACCCAACAGTCCCATAGTTGCAGATTGATTCTTGGCTACAGAGTCTGCGAGCAATCTTAGAGTTATTGGGGTCCAATGTTGATCATGGGTAAGACTAGAATAGTCTAAGGCATGTAACTCTGAAACTCTTGCTGCTGTTGCCATGGCTAGGAGAAACGATGTTTTCTTGGCTTTTTGAAGTCTGGTAGCTTTAGCCATGGGCTTGTAAGGTTCTGCTAACAATGCCAATAGTACCACCGATAGATTCCACTTGGGGAAGATATGAGGAGTTCAAATATCTTCTAGAAGAAAGGATCTCATTAGTCTGTTGAGAATGGGATGGTTTCCGATTGATAATCCATCATGTTTAAGAACAGAATGAAGGGCTGATCTATCACCTTCTATTATAGCAAATCTCAGCGAAGTGGTAGCTGGATAGGTTCTTCCATTTGTAGTTTTAGTAGTTTGGGGAACCACGCCCTGCTGGGCCATATTGGAGCTATCAGAAACATTATGTAATTCGTCTCCTCCATCTTGTGGATGGCTTTGTCTAAGAGAGACCATAGTGGGAATGTGTACCCAAATAGATTCGTCAAATCCATCAATAGTGCGTCAATCTGGTGAGCTCTTGGGTCGGGAACTGGACTGACATAAACCGGAAGTTGGTAGTTCTGACAGGTGGCAAATAGATCCAGGTATGGTGTGTCCCATAACTTGGTTGTCCACGCGAAGATCTGTGGATGCATCAAAGTCCATTCTGTTGCCACCTTTCTACCATGGTGAGAAAGACTGTCGGCCAGTATGTTCATTTTCCTGGGTATATGTCTCGCTTCCATCCGGCAATTGAAGGAGTCTGCCAAGGCAAACAATTGTGTCTCTGTCATCAGGGAGTTGCATCTGGTTCCTCCCTGTTTCTGGATATAGGCCACTACTGTGGTGTTGTCTGGGCTATGAGAACTACAGGGAGAGATGTATTTTCCATTCCATGATGGCATGATAGATAGCCTTCATTTCCCTGCAGTTGACATGAAGGTTCTTCTCTCCTGTATTCCACGATCCCTGTGCTGTGAGATCGTCCATGCTGAATCTGACGCGTCTGTGAATAGATGGTGTTCTGGCATCGGATAAGTCAGAGGGATGCCACTCATCACATGCTCTCCGTGATTCCACCAATGGAGGTCTCGTAGTAATCTGGGAGTTAACTGGGTCTGGAACTCTAGGCCGTAAGATCGTATAGGATTGTTCCAAGTCTGTAGAGGACGTAGCATCAGCCTTCCTCCGAAGGCTATATCCTGTAGAGAAGATAAGTTGCCTAGAAGAGACATCCAGCACCTCAGCATCTTGCTGAGTTGACTTGAGAGTGATTGAATCATCTTGATAGTCTTGATGAATCGATCCGGTGGTGGGCATAGATATCCTCTGTCTAGCTGAAATCTTGCTCCGATGTATATGATGTCTTGCACTGGAGTAGTCTCGGACTTGGAAGGTTTGACTAGAAAGCCTAGGTAGGTCATAAGTTGAACCAAGAATATCATGTTCAGACATAGTTTAGCTTTCTCTTGGTCTGCTGCTAAGAAATCATCCAGGTAACCATGGATTCGAACGAGCTGGATGTAAGCAAACTTGATGACTGGTGCTGTAATCCTGGTAAACAGCCATGGGGCTATTGCTATTCCGAATGGTAGGACTTGAAATTCGTAGCGTCGGCCATTGATTGCGAAGTGTAGATATTTCCGATGAGATGGGCGTGAAGATAAGCATATTGTAGGTCTAGGCTGATAAGCCAGTCTTCTGTCTCCAACGTTGACTTTAATTTCCGTATGGACTCCATCTGAAAATTTTGGTGGTGGTACCAGATATCTTTTGTTGAGAGTCTTTAGGTCGATGATCATCCTCATCTCTGATATATTCTTTTTCGGGACTAAGAAGACCGGCAAATAAAACCCCTTGGTGTTGTTGGTCTTGAGAGTCTTTAGGTCAATGATCATCCTCATCTCTGATATATTCTTTTTCGGGACTAAGAAGACCGGCGAATAAAACCCCTTGGTGTTGTTGGTCTCCGTAAGTCTCTGAATGGCTCGCTTCTTTAATAGCTTCTTGACAGCTAGATCTGCTGCCGCTAACTTGGCTCCAGCTAGATGGAATCTGCATCCGACAGCGTGTGTCTTCAGGATGGGACTTTTCCTGAAATGTACCTTGTAGCCGTGAGCCACTACGTCCAGAATTCAGTGGTCAGGCGTAACCTGCTTCCAATTTTCGGCATATGACAGAAGGCGCCCTCCCACAGGGCCCGGAGTCAACATTATGTTGAAAGTCAGTAGGCGTAAATTGCAGTCCATAGACATAACCAGTTCGAAAGTGTCTATAGCGTCGGAGGGGGTGGTAAGGGAGTCAGGGACCTACGTTCACCTCTGCCTCCCGATTTTCAACGGCGATTGTAGCCTCACTTCTTGTAGTCTGGTTGGCGAAAAGAATCCTGCGAAGATTATCATTTGTCGTACCCCCGACTTGGTTGGAATGAATCCTTCCCAGAGGGGACAAACTGCTTCTTAGGAGGCTGTTTAGCAGATGGGGATTTATAGTCCCATGGACTTTTCTGAGGCTGTGATGATCCATGGGCTTTAGCAGCTAAGTTAATAGTTGAAGTTTGGAAACGTTCTGCAGTGTCTTGTCTCACTTCGTGTTCTGCAGTGTCTTGTCTCACTTCGTCTATGATATGTCCCAATTTTCCGTTGAATGTTGTGGTAGCTGATATAGGTTATGATGTTTATCTTGGTTTGATTAGAAACAGCTCTGGATCGGATCTTGGTTAAGAGTTGTTGACGCTGTAACCATAGGAGTTGTGAAGACATCCAGACTTTGGAGGAGAGTAAGTCTTCCTGCATCTGACGATGGTGTCTAGAAGGCTATGGATGAGTCCAACTTGATCGGTCCTAATAGCCATGGGCGCTTCACAGATGGTTACTACTATTCATAATAGGTGTTGACTCTAGCACACACAGGAACAAAATGAGGTTGCTGCCATTATGACGTCATGGCTTGGGTAATTACGAGACTACTTGGCTACAACTAATTGTGTGATTGACAGTGAAAATGACGTCTTGAAAATCTGAAAACTTTAGTTGGTGTAATTGAAGCCAAAATACAGGATTTATGGCAGAGATGTAATAGAGGTAGAGGCATGTTCCATGTTGATAGATGCAGTATTACAAACAAAAATTTGAAAAGTGGCAAAATGAAAGTCTCCTTTTAAAGCTTTACCTGGTGGCTCAAATAGGCCTTAATGTCTGGTATAAACTTTACCAATTATTACAAATATTTCAAACAAGTTTTCTAATGTTTCCTAAGATTTGTTATGAAATAACAATGTTGTGTATGATTAAAGTCTACAATTTTGAGGAGCCAAGTCAAATTTTAACCCCCTGTAAGTGCTCGAATCAATCAAAATGTTCTAAGCAGATGATGCAGATCTCTTCACAAGCTATGGCCCTTCAGGCAAGGTGAGCTAAAATGATTAGGAAATGTCACAGATCAGAAATGAAGCTCCACATCCAACTTCCTATACACACTTTCAGTTCCATCTTCACACAATTGCTACTCTTTCTGCTCAGTAAACATTTTTTCTTTATATTTACTCTGAATATGAACATCATGTCAAGGAAAATGTTGACAACCTCCTTGCATTGAAGACTCTTGTGTACATACATCAGTGTGATGGTTGCCACATAAACATCACAGCAAGAGAAGATGCTTTCCTAAGAACAAGCTATTGCAACTTTCAAAATGCCACTATCCAAACATGCTAACATTCACTAAATTGATCTGATTTTCAGTCAGTCTACAGAGACCTGTCAGCATAGGAAAAGCTAGAACTTCTTTTGTTAGCAAATTTAAATAGGAAAGCAGAGCGCTGATGGTGTGAATCTGGGGAATAGATAATAAAAGGGCGGTCTAATTGCCACAAATTAAACTGGTTACCCGCAGACAGAAGTTTTATTTGTTTTGGGTCTTTACAGGTTCGGCAGTTCTATAAAGTCAAGCCTTTCTGTTGTTACACAGGAAGTCTCCCACGTGTTAGACTTTGTTTTATAACAATGATACTCACGAACAAGGCAAACAGATTATCTAATGTGTATTCTTATGAAATGTACATTAACTGTGAGCCTTGCAACTTTTATCAAAACCATTGAAACAATGTTTTGCATAATACATATTTGATATTATCGAGAAAAAATCTCACAGAAACTAAATCCTTTCAGTTTAGACTATTAAGTAAACACTTTAATTAAACAGTATTGATTCTACACACATATTTTTTTTTTTTGCTTAATGACAGCCCACCTGCTAGGATTTGATCGGTAAATAATTATCGCTCTCGTAGCTTCCCCTCAGTCCAGATGAATTAATTTGAACAGGTGGCTGTAATTATATAAGTAATACTTTTGAAATATGAAATGCTGAAAATGTAAATCAGCATAATTTGAGTCATAAAATATGCAATCAAATTCTATCTCCAGATAATCAGAAACCTCGCAAACTGTCTCAATAAATATCATCTGGTAATTCAAATGAAATGAATAAGTTGCAGTAATAAAAATTTCTAATTTCCGCTATGAATAAGTTTAGCGCCATCTCACCTGTGCAATATTATTCATTTAATATATTTGGACTTGAGGCAGATATTTCATATTTTATTGGTATAATAATCATTTCAGACAGATAATCCTTTTGTACTGACCCAGAAATGGGTTCAATATTGTCCACGATAACAGTTAAAAACAAGCCTATCTGAAACTTTCAACACTCAATAACTTATTGTCCTCATTTGCAACTTAGCACAAGTTTTAGCTCTCAAAGATGGGTTAAGATTGAATAAAATCTCATTTTTTAGTAATTAAACACTAATCATGTTACTTGATAACCAGTGAAATGAAAACCAAATAAGACTCACGAATTATCAAATATGTATAGAAGGGTATCAAAATATGAACTTCAATATGAAATTAACCTTCTTGTCGTCATAATACCTAAGGACAGGTTTCAATTTGAAGAAACCTGAAGAAGTCGTTGGAGTATTATATGAACATGCTTATAGCTTAAATGTTTATTTTCATAGCTACAAGTGCAGTCACAAGGGAAGAATGTAATTTAAAATGATCAAATTTGCATCTCCGTGTCATGACAGACATGATCCTGTTAAAATCTTCCATATTACTTTATCGCAACAAAGAATATTCTCCAAGGAACTAATTGATCCAAATTCTGATATGGGATCAAAGAATGACTTTGGAAATATTAAACTCCTGTAACAACATATACCTAAAACCATTTGCGCTTAACAAAGAAATATGGCTCAGAATCCTGTCAGAAACTCTCCAAAGAATTAACTTTAAAAGTATTGTGATAGTTACATGCAAGAAATGATAGGAGATGTTGGATCTCCTGTAATCTAATATCCTGCACCTGCTTTTAATTTGACAATGAAAATCACATGGCTGCGTGCATTCTCCAACCATGAAAGCTTGTAAATGTCTACGCTTTTCAAACAGACAAAACCATTTGGTGCCTGTCTGTTTTTGCTAATTTAATCTACATACAATTTTACACATATGTCACAGGGCTTGGCAATATGGAAAGTTTAGTCCCTTAGAAAATGGCGTAACCTTTCAGTTAGATTGTCTCGAGCAAATAATTTTGTAGATGTGTTGATGAATAATAGAGTACTCGTCCATTCCATTTGTGTTTTGACACTCAAAAATGAGATGAATTTACTTGGGCTAGAGTTAGGCAAAATTTGAAGTAACTTTTAGAAGTTTGGTTTCAAGATAATAAGATAGAAAAGCCAACAGAAATCCATCACTGACAGAATAATTTTGTTTCATTTTACCTTATCAAACTTCGTTTTCATAGACATGACAACATGAGTCATCTGATGAGCAATCGTCACCTCAAACACTACAGAATTAAGAATTTCACAAAACCTACTACCACAGAATCCAAAACAGTATGAGAAAGTTGCAAGATTGTTGTCCTGCTTTCAAGATAATGGCAGGTAGTCAAATATTCGTATACCAGTTTATGGTGTTGTAGTACAAGCTCCCACCCACGATAGTGGAACACTTCTCACCTGACAAGCAGCCATAAACCTGTGTTAATAGCTACAAGATATCTTCAGACATGCTCTCCTCTACATCCACACTATCTAAGCAAACTGCATATCACACTTAATATCTAATCCAGGGGGGATTGGGATTCAAATTTAATTAGGTAAACTCATGGAGGCTGTGAGCAGGATGGAAATATGGTTGGTTGTACTTTGGCCAAGCTTGTAGTCTAGGTAACCAGGGAAGGCCCCTTTATCTTGTATTTAGTCCAGGTTGAAGTCATAAAAGTCCAGCTAAACATTATTTTACTGTTATTGCTCAGATGACCTTTACTGAGGTCACAGGCTGTGCCGGACAACCAGACAGGCCAAGTTGAAATGTTAATGTGTTTACACATAAACAGTAAAATATGGCTAGCAGTATGTCCAAATTCTGTTCTGTTTTTGTTTCAGAGTTATGTGTCTGTTTCAGTCCAGTGGAAAACTTAGTACTCATCTGTGAAATCAAAGGCTTGAAATGTTTGAAATGTCTGCGAATCTAAAGATTCTGTTTGGAATAAATAAATAGGAAATCAATGGCTGTTGTCACACATTTACTACCACATGCATTTGTCATCTTGAATTTGCAAATAAGTGTCGTTTGCAACAATTGATAATGGACAGGATGCTGAACAACACATGTTCTGGCAAGTAGATGATGAAAGTACTGAAATGACACATGTTCTGAAAAGTAGATGATGAAAATACTGAAATGGATATACATGTATTACAAACTTGATGATTCAAACATATATTCAATGCATTATTTGAAGTGTTTTTGGAACACCTGTAATTGGTTTAGATCAAATAAGTGTTATTAAGTCACTTGACAGGTGTTCAAGTAATACAAAA